ATAAGTTATAAAATTAAAACTTATTCATATCACATTTTATCTTGTTTACAACCATTAACAAAATAATCTTACATTATTATATATATTTTAAGATATAAAAATAAATATATAAATAAAAATCTACTTATCAATTTTAAAAAATAAAATTATTGAATTATTAATAAAAAATAAATAAAAATTGATGAAATATTAATATTTATAAAATATAATACTTTAATTATATATATATTATTTAAAGATAAAATTATTATGTAAAACAATTTTATTTTTAATTATTATTAATTTCTACCAGAATCATAAATAAATATTACTTAATCTAGTCAATTAAATAAACTTAACAAAATTCAATAAATCTTAATACTACTTATAATTATATAAGATTATTTTCATTTGAAACTCACTATATAATTTATAAATCTTTTATAACTTTTTGATAATTACAATAGAAAAAATGGAATATTAAATAATACCAAATTATATAATCAGATAAGTTACAGTTTTTTCTTTTTCACTCAGATGAATGTGTAAGAATATAATGTGATCTCAATAGTAAAATATAATGAATTATCAATTTTATCTTGATAATATATTGAATAGGTTTGATAAAGATTAATAATATGATTATATTAATATTTTGGCAAAAAAATTGATTTCTAATAATTCCTATATACTCTTTAGCAAGATAAGGTTTCTTGTCATACTTTGCATTAGACTAGTTAATGAATGTAAACTCATAATATTCCAGCTTTGGAATGCGTTATTCAAAGTTCTGATTTAAAGCTAATTGAATATATATGGGATCATTTAGATAGAAAGAGTCTCTTTCAAATTTCAGAAAGGATTTAATAATATATTGATAGAAGAATGGTCAAAAGTGTCCTTGAATATATGTAATTTAATTCCAGTATGTTATAATGAATTATGACTGTTATCAATATTCTTGAGACAATATTTCTAGTCCTGCGATATTCAAGAATTTGTACTGTATGTACGAAAAAGTATTCGTTTATATTTTGAAACTTACGTGCTAAACTTTCTTTTGAAACCTTTTTCATACTATTTTGTAGGTATATAGTAATTAAATTTACGCAACGCTTGCTATTTTGAAATCTTACACAACCAACCTTCAAAATTATTCTTTCGTCATATGTGTCATTTTATGGTAATAATAAGAAAATTTTATTTTCAAGTCTCATAATTATTGATGGACAAACTTTCGTCGTCTTTGTCCATTTTTAAGTTATATAGGAAAGACATTACCATAATGATCACGTTATCGAATGGAGGCAAGCTTCTTTTAGGGAAAGATGAGTTCAAGTTCCCATAATTATAGGACCTCATAAAATTACTGAAAAATCCGCTAATATCGAAGCAAACGACAGCAGAATAATTTTTAGTTTATATTTACTAGTTTGTTATGCAAAACGAACTACGAAGTTTTACAGATGCGTTTTTGTTTTACTGAAGTTAATATGTATGAAATTTATCATTCAGCCGCAATCTTTCTCAAATAAACATATATCTTCTCACTCTTTCTGAAACAAAATATAAATGATATTAATAATGAAACACAACAAGGAGACATCCTTATAAACGAAATCAAATTTAATAAATACCTGTCCTGAACTTTCGTCTATATTTTCCCCCAAAAAGATCAAATCTTCTATCTGGTATTTCGACCTAAAGGCGCTGAGATCTGCTGGAATTAGTTCAGAATCATCAATTATTTTAGGTTTCGAATCTTCAATATGGAATGTTTCAGAAACGATGACCTCATTATGACGTATTTCTGTATCAGGATTTGTTACTTTTTTAATGTCTATTTTCTTATCAACATTGACGACTTGTTTATTTTCATCTGCAAAAGAAACAGTGACTGGCGCGTCTTTTTCATTTTCAATCACTATCTTTGACGTAGGTGCATTCCTATTTAATTCTAAGAAATATATTTGATCTCAATATTTCACGAATGAAAAATTATACAGGAAATATAAGTCCTAAGCCCTAACCTGGATATTCATGCAAATATCTGCATTCTATTCCACGTACGCATCCACCAGACCGATTGAAAAATTTGCACACTTGCGGGTGATTCACATGTTGATAGCCTATTATATTATTGCTGAGATTATTATCGTGACCGCTGTAATTTATTGACGAGGCGGAAGCAGTATTTGTATGTAGGTCTGGATGGTGGTTCAGATCCTGGAATGAGATCAATTTTATGATCAATTGCTCTTTTGGGTGGTAGTTGGTTTGGTAAGATTTCAGGAAATACATCTTTGTATTTTCTTTTTATGTCTAATACTTCTGGTGAAAGCATCTTTTCTTTTATTTCTTCTTTGTCTTCAGCATTGTTGAGATGTATGATGAAAAGTTCTGCGTTTGCTGGTAGATTTGCAATTTGTTATCTTGATATGTAAATTAAATTGCAGCTAGAGCCTAACTTTATTTCATTATCAGCTTGCACTTTGATTATTTTAGAGCCATAGGTAAAGATTATAGTGTTATTTTTTCAGTTTATGGTGAGATTGGCATGAAATAACCAAGATTTACCTAGAATAAGATCATATTTCTGCAATTTTAAAACTTGTGCATCCATTTTATGCATCCTATAAGTATCTAGTTTTAATTCATCAATCTTTGCCATCTGCGAGTTCAACTATTACTGGTATTGTCTTTTGTAACTTAACTTTGTTTTTCTGTACAAACTTTTCATCTACAAAGTTTCTTAATGCGTCACTGTCAAGTAATATCCATGCTGATTTGCCATTAACTTGGCCATTAAATTTCAACAATCTTTCTCTGTTATTTTCAAGATAAGCGAATTCAACTCTCTTATATGATGATGATGAAGATTCTTCTTATTTATCTTCTATATTGGCAATTTTGGCTTTAGGTTTTGAATAACAATTTTTGATGAAGTGATCTGGTTTGTCATAATTATAACAGGTACCTTTGGACTTGTTATTCTTCTGGTTATTATTATTTCTTCTGTTATTGTAATGACTTTCTGTCTGATCTAATTCCATAGGTATAGGGCCATTATTCTGGTGACTTCTGTATGAATTCTGAGAGTGATGACTATTATTATTTCTGCTTGGTAGGCCTAGAGATCTGTCTTGGCCATACATTGCTGTATCATAGTGAATAGCTAATTTCCAAGCATCTTCTAAGATTTCTGATATCTGGTAATTAATCTCCATCTTTGTAGCTGATTTAAGACCTTCTATGAAATATGTGACCTGATCTAAAGTGCTCATATCTGTTATTTATCCAACTATATTTCTGAATTTTATACCATAGTCTTGGACAGATCTAGTTTGATGAAGAAGGTGAAGTTATCTGCGAAGATGTTGCTGATAGTGTGATGATTGAAATACTTCTCTTAAAGCTGTGACAAAGACTTGCCAATTTTCAAAAGATTCAATATTATTATCTACCTTTACTTTGTTGAGATACCAATGTAAAGCTGCATCAGTTAGAGAAGTGACAGCATATTGTATCTGAGTTTTCTCATCTGTAATTCCTTGAGCTTGGAATATTATCTTGACTTGCATTATCCAAACAAGTATATTTTCATTTAGTTCTCCAGAATAGATAGGTAGTTTTACTGAGAGGTGAGATGAAGGTTTAGGACCAGAGGGACCATCTTTTTTAACTGTCTTGATAAGTTTAGTCATGCTCTGCATAAATTAGGCAAATTGTTCTGTGTTCATCTTGTCAAAATATTATTTTATTAAAACTAAAATATGTGTGTGTATAGTGTAGTATGTGATATGTGAGTGTAAGGTATTAGAGGGTGGTGTTTGTAATAACTGCGTCCACTGCTACCAAGTTATAAGATTATTTTGTTAATATTTGTAAACAAGATAAAATGTGATATGAATAAGTTTTAATTTTATAACTTATAATTATTTTTATTATTTAAAAGTATTCAGATCTGGAATTAAAATTACAGAACAGACAGGTCTTATTTATAAGAAAGAAATAAATACAAAAAGTGAATAAATTAATAATGAGTTTTTAATTAAAATATATATGGGTTGAACAGAATTAATTAACTTAATTCACATTTCCAGAGGGTTACTAATCATAATCCAATAAATTATAAATAATATAAATAACAATACAAATAAATAATAATAAGAGAGAATGAATAAAAACATAAAGAATTACTAAAAGAAAAATATTAATAACCTAAATTAATAATATGGGTACATATGGTGATTATCTGAGTAATTGTATGCTAAATCTAGAAGTATTAAATACATAATGATCATCTGTGTATCCAGAATGAAAATGATCTTCTTAAAATGTAATACAAAGCTAATTTGTTATACAGATAGCGCAAAATGAAGATCTAAACTAAAAAAGATCTAAAGGAAGATAACCTAATCAAAATTGTTACACAAGAAAATAATTTTACAAGAATATATAGAAGTTAATAATATAAGCAAGCTAAATAATTAATCAAATTCAATATATTTATAATATAAAAAGTAATTAATATTTAATTATAAAAGAAATAAAATAAATAATATTATATAATATATATTTATAATAAATAATTTATATAATATATAATATATTTATATATATATTTATATTTTTAGAACTTTATATATATAAAATTATTTTAAAATTTTATTATTTAAATCTGAAAATATATAAAATTTTTTAAATTTCATATAATAATTATATATATTTTTATTATTAAATTATTAATATTTTTCAAAAAAAACTTGAATAAGTTATTTAAATATCAATCTTATTTATAATATATTGATATATTTATCTTAAAAAATATATTTATAATTTATTAATTTGCTTTATTTATTAAAATATTGATTATTCTATCTAAAAAAAATTTATTTTAATTTTTATTAATTATACCAGATTTTTTAATAAAATAAATATAAATATTATTTATATATTTATTAATTCAATAATTTTTTATAAGTATATTTTTTATTAATTAAAAACTAATTTTCTTTGAATATTCTCAATTTTAAAAATTTTATCAATATAAATTAAAAATTAATTAAATCTTTCTGTCTGATATAAAATTCAATTATTTTTGATATATTATCTTGAATATATTTATTAGATTTATTTTCAAGAATCTAGTACTTTGTAATAATTATTGTGACAGATTAAAATGAAATCAGATTAAAATGAAATGGGGTCCCCTTTTTATCACGGGTTTAATCCGA